CGCTAGCCTTGAGCTGAAGAGCTGAGGGACAGTGTCCAGGCCCAGAGTTCAGGCCCACAACCAGACCCCCCCCAAAAAAAAGTAAAAATTAAGAAATGTGAACATGTACCTCACAAAAGAAAAATTTGAATGATACCGTATCTCTGAAAATTGTATGTGAAATAAAAAAGAGCTATGCACAATACTTGGACTAAAATAAAAACTTTTAACTATTTAAGAAAGTCTGAGCCAGGTGCCTGTGGCTCAGGCCTGTAATCCTAACTACTCAGGAGGCTGAGATCTGAGAATCTCAGTTCAAAGCCAGCCCAGGCAGGAAAGTCTGTGAGACTCATCTCCAATAAACCACTCAGAAAACCAGAAGTGGCACTGCAGCTCAAGTGGTAGAGCACTCTCCTTGAGCTGAAGAGCTGAAGGATAGAGCCCAGCCCCAGAGTTTAAGCCCCACGACCAAAAAAAAAAAAAAAAAGAACAAAGTCTGAGATGAGAGGATATGAAAACAAAAACTTTCATACTTACTGTGAAGTTGTACAAGATTTGAAATCATGTACTCAATATATTAAAGCAATTGTAAGACAATGTCAAATTTCTCAGCAGTGGCTTGTAAGCATGTCTGGTTGGTTACAAGTGAAAAATACAAGAGCAGAGTTTACAGACCATTACTACATTTTATCTTAGGAAAATTAGGGTGACTCTAAGAAAGATATATGATTATATGATTTCCAGAAATTAGAAAATGATCAAACAAAACTGCTAAAAGCATGCTCCTATAGATATATAAACAGGACAACTGGGAAATTATAAAATGAATATTAAAAGTACAACCAGAATTTTAAATAATTATACTTGTTTGTGTATACACTCAAATCAACCGCATTTGGTTTATAATTTGTTGACCAGATTTAAATAAATTGAAAGTATATAACTCATCCAAACTAGAGATCTGTAATATGACCAACATAAATGAGGAATACAAGTTGAGCAAAAAATGTTTGTGCCAAGGAAAGAAATTGTACCTCGGGCAGTGGCTTTCGCTGGTGGCAGTTGATTCCACCAACGTAGACCATGTTGGGCATCACAGGTCTAGGAAACTCGAAGACAAAGTCAGATCTCAACAACCAAATGGATACTTGGCTGAACAGGTCATACATGGTGACTGGGGTCTGAAGAATTTCAGAGGCTGCATCAGTGGCTCTTTTGAAAAAGTAGGTACAAAATAAAAGTTCATCCAAGTGGGAGATGTGGTTCCACACTCTCTCTCTGAAAGTCATGGTGTCTGGGAGGCCTGAGGCAAGTCTGGGAACATAGGAGAGAGGACTGGGGCACTGAGCTCCTTCTTCCAGATTATAGCAAAATATTACCCTGGAGAAAATCACGGCTGGAAGTGAAAAGTATTTGGCAACAATTAAGCCACACACATCAAAAGGATCCAGAAACACTGCATCAAAAGAACTCTCCTTTAGGAATTCCACTACTTTCTTGTCATTAAACAGACTCCTACAATGTGAAAACATGATGTCATAAAATCCCTTGGCTGAGCCAGTTAGTGCAGAAAACATAGTTTGTTCTGGAGTTTCCCACTGGGTGTCAAGAAAAACCTTGAACTCCCGGTCCAAATCCTGCAGCGAGTGAGGAGTTGAGTACGTCTTCACTGTGAAGTTCAGTGAGCGTCCCAGCTGCCAACTCACCTCGGGCACAACCACCACCACCTCATGCCCTCTCTGGAAGAGTTTCTCCACCACAGAGCGCATGGACAACCAGTGGCTGCCGTCCATGGGCACCACCAGCAGCTTGCCTGCCTGGGCAGAGCCTGAGGCCAGCAGCAGACATGCACACACAGGAAGGAGGGCAGGCAAGACTGCAGGAGTCATGGTGAGTGTAGTCAGGAGCAAGCCCCCTGTTTAGATACTGTGCTCCTAAAACACAGCAGGTGGAACAGACAGGGCAGAAAAAAAAAAAACCACAGAAGCAGGTGTGTCTTTATGCTATTCCAGCTTGCAATGATTTACACAGAAAAAAAATTCATGAACTGATAATTCTTAACATTTGCTGATATTTCTACTTGTATATTTTCCAGATAAGAACTGTTCATGACCTTTGCCTTAGAGATAATCAGGTAAAGCACTGCAATACACAGCTTTTACCAATGATTTCGGGCCTGGAGAGCTCAAAGAGACAATAAAGGAAGTTGGGACAAACATTGGCCTTTTGGAACATTTCCAGGAGTAATTATTGGACGTTATCTTCAAATTATACAACTTTCCTTGTTCAGAAACAAATATGTTTCCCAGCTTTAAAAGAAAGTCTTCATGTGAGCTGGGAAGGTGGCTCAGTGGTAGAGCGCTTGCCTTGCATGCATGAGGCCCTGGGTTTGATTCCTCAGCACCACATAAGCAAAAAGAAAAAAGCCGGAA